GGTATATGTTCGCTCTCCTCGGCTGAGCTCAGAAGTTTCCACACTAATTATAAGAGTTCACACACGAACTAGGGTAGGATTGCACAGAAATCAAACAATTTCCCCAGGAATTGCCATATTGTCACCAACACATGTAGTTGACCATGTGCATATTTTCGCACACTGATTACGAGCAACACTACGAGAAAATCATCATCATAATTGTTTCGAGCAACCTACTGGTAGGTAAGCCCCCGTTTATCCTTAAGCCCTGCATAGTGTATAGATTCCCGAGGTAAGCGCAATTTCTTCTCCAACATTGCAAGAACCCTCGGCGTGTCCAGGTTCGCCTTGTGCAGTACACACCTCCACCGCTTCCCTCCATGCAGTCCACGTTGGGAATACACTCGCGACCATTTCGCTCGTACCAACAGCCCCTCCTTCTACACAAAGGGACACTGTAGCTGGGTGAATCCAGTGCCATGCTCACCTGGTCCGATTCAACAATCTCAAATGCCAAGTCCCGCCAAAATTTGGCTACCTCAGTAGCAAAACTATCGACATCGGAATCGACCACGGGGCCGGGTGATCGGAATGTGAACTCCACATCTCGCTGACCGTAGCTGACGAGGCGTAAGACAGATAGTGAGATTCAGGTCGCACCCGCATGTGATAAGTCCAAGGAGTTTTTGAGCATCGCTCAAGGTCATATGTTGTAGTAGCAGTTTCTTGAATCCTCTATTTTCAGCAACGCAGAAAACGCGATGTCCCCTACCCTCGAATTTGCAGGGCACATTCACAAGCATCTGAGCAAGAGTAGTGCGCCATCAGTTCACCAAAGACAACTGGGACGGTGTGACGATATCCGAAGTATTGATCTGAACTGTCCCGGTACTAGGTTGCTATGATCACGGGGGAGATCTATTCTCATCAAAATGACTCATCATATCATTTTGTCACTTCATGAAATATGGACATCGACCACACGTGTGGTTGATTGTAAATACCATTCGATTCAACAAAGTATGGGGCGTCGAAAAATGTGTGAAATAGGGTTTTTCTTCTTGTGTAATCCCATCCTCCTGTGAGGGCATCCAATGAATTGGGCACCGTCGATACGTGCAGTATCGCCACATTTCATGGTGCTGATACTTTAGCTTTAGCGTCATGCTACGTACACTAGTTCGAGTCGGTTGTTGTTAATTTATCAGCATACAAATCGATACAGTGGTTGAGCGGTTACTCCTGGACCTCTTCTACTAAGATAACTGTGTTACACCTGGAAGGCTTCTGTTCTGGACTGAACGTCTCTGCTGTTACTATCACGGAACCTATAATGTTCCCGGCGAGAATTCATTGTGGATTTACCACATGGCTAGGAACGCACTCTTCAATCGGTTTCCCATGTATCATTTTCTCCACATTTTATCAAACCCTGGGGAAACTTATTTGTCGAGGTGGACGGATCACTGGTTACTATAGGTCGTTACGTGCTTAGTCGCGGCCACGATAGCTCCACGAAGTCGATATGCATCTTCATCACTCATCGTAGCCTCACCCAGCTTAGCTCGCAGCACGCCGACCTCAAGTGAACTACTCTGCGGAGAAAACACGAATAGATATGATCACTCGCTCTAACGTAGAGGGTCACCATTGCTTTGCAGAGGAAAGCATCCAACTGTGTGATAGCCGTATGGCCCAACCACTGCTCTATATAGCTCCTAGCTTCCACAACGGTCATCGCAACCCTGAGGGGTTAAAAATGACAGACTCGAAAATCAACCAGATCAGTTCACCCTTCCCAGTGTGCATCCTCTACTGCTTTCGTTTTGTCAGCACCGTCGAGGGCCGGGAAGGATGATTCATCCGAAGAGTCGCTGTCCGGTCTGATCGAAAAAATGCGTCTATCAAATATGTGGTGACTGGGGACTCACTCGTCCCTCGCCCCAGCAGAGACCTTCCTCTCCACTTCAGCCCACCAGTTCAACTTGGGTTCACCTTTGAGACGGGCCACGGTGAAATCGGCGCCCACTTCACGAACTTCCCAATCTTTAATCTACAACCAACAAGCTGCGACTCATAGTCTATGAGTCATAGGAAATCTATATATTGGAGTTTCACCCGTGATGTAAAAACACTAGTGAGAAACAAATCTCACGACTACTGCTGCAGTAGTCGTGAAATGTTTCTCACGAATGAACTCCATTGATGATCACCTACACATTACTGTCACAGTCTCACAGACTTACTCTCACTCGCAGCTCACCACCCAGTGCCAATGGATTTATAAACTCTGTGATGCCCACCGCCTCCGGTGGGGGCTTCTTCACTGTGTACTCCGCTATAGGTGAATGTCGACTGCGATTTGTCTGACAACACTACATAAGTCCCAAGACTGCGACAGAGCCAGCACCTTGCTGTGTTGTTGTTGGTCCGGTGACCATCGTGGCCGGGGGCGCTCCATAGCAACAGCGTGGCTGGCTACCGATGTAAGGTGCCGGCTATTGAACTTAGTGAAAGGATTCACCATAGATGGGAGAAATTAATTATAGTGCTGACCTGATCTGAAGGCTCAGTGATGTTCTCAACTTCCGATGACTACATTGAAAATATGACATTCGGTGGCGACAGATTAAATTTATTATATTAATTCAGTTCATGAGGCTATACAAGACTTACCGTCCCCCTCCATCGATATTGGCCGTGTGGAATTCAGGCGGCGATGCAGAGGTCGCTTGAGGCCGGGACCAGTCGCATTGCTTTGGGTGTGACAGGTGCCGCAAACTTAGATTATGCCAAATCGTTGCCAACCGGGTTTCAAAGGGAGTTGAGATATTTTTAGGCGAAACAGGTCACCGTATTGAGTTTTAGCATATTGGGAACATTAGGGTGGAAACAGGAATGACCTAACTTTTCGGTGAAGATTAAGTTGGTGGTGGAAACTGTATCCTCTCCTGCTTTCGCCAGATGGCTCTGAGGCCGACAGGACCAGACATCACCAAGATGGCGTTAGTTGAGGAAGCCGCACATCTCCTACATTCACAGAGTTCGGGTGAGCGCAGCAGAAGGCCAGACCGAAACATCAGACTGCAAACCCGCGGCCCGTAAACCCGGAACCGGAGACTATGTCCACGAAGGTCGTAGACCACCGACGTCCAGTCCCCGGGATAGGGCCGTAGGCTGTGGCGAAGTCTATGAGCCTGTACTGCGAGATGATCGCGAGTTGAGGTGCTAAGAGCAAGCTCGTGCATCATCTCCACCGCGGCGTGGGAGGGTGCGCTGAAAACAACGTTCACAGCCGCAGCCCGAGGTAGAACTACTCATAAGACAATTCCCAAGAGTCACAGAGAAAACCATTAATCACCTGCCGATCCATGACTTGCACTGTAATGGTCACGGAGAATCTTCCGTGCGCGCCACATGAAACGATCATTGCGGCACCCACAACAAACCTTGTCTACTGCCTAAACATCATTTATCCCCCTGGGTACAGGTGTTGTCTGAGTAGTCCAGAAAAGTCGGCCATGCCTGTTGTACACACCAATTTCCCATTGGCATGAATCGGAACAAGGGACAGGTTTCCGCGTACGGGCGAGCGCATTTCGAAATCTGGCGAATCCCCCAGCCCCATCAGCGGAAATTTGGTCTTTTAACTAAGGTGTTTCTGGGAGGGGTCTATACCACATTTTGCCTAACATAGATATTTGGACCTGCGAAAAGTAATTTCGCTAAGTTTGGCGAGTCGGCGTGCCCTGGATCTCCAAGACCGCGCCCTACTGGTTTGAGTGCCTGATTCATTGGCCAACATTGATCAGGTCAAACTTGCCATCTCTACACGATTGTGAGTGAGGACGGCTCGACGGCATAGTCCTATTAAAATGCGACGGCAATGCTCAATGGTGTCAAGTAACTAGTTGTAGCCCTCTGCATGCCATATCATCGTAACTGTAATCGATTAACGTTATAAATCGCACAGACACTATGGACAAATTTCCTTGGTCAATTGTGCCGTATACGACACAGATTAACTTCTGTATGTTTGTCGTTTGTGAGATCGATCATACGTTCTTTCTATTGTTCTTGCTCTGTGGGGGGGCAGCTGTTGAGCCTACTTGCAAGCACAGGAGCAATGTTGGAATATATGTTCGCTTTCCTCAGGAGTTTCCTCACCATAGAAAATTTACTCACGGCCTCAGGTAACCTGAGTCAGGTAGAAGAATACAAATCCCAACAAAAATTTCACATAATTTCCTCGATTTTTCTTGTCACCAAAAAAGGTAGTTGGCCTTTTGAAGGTTGCGGATTTTCCCACTGCACAAAGGTTGGACGTTGTATGTTAGAAGGTGATACTGGGTCCGTAACTCCTGGCGACATATACCTACACTCACGGTGGTCCACGAGCAAATGACGTACCGTAAATCGCGAAGATCAACCCAAACCTCGTATCGGGCTCTCTCCGGGCTTTGACTGATTCGAATTGATAATCACCTGGTACCGTCTACTACCATGTATAGTGAATCCGCAGGGCATTTTACTCTCCTTGCTGCCATGTCAGAAAAAGCTGACCTTCCAGCCACTCCGGAGATGAGCGAGACCAGCTCAACTCAGGAGAACACCGATGCGGAGCATGCTGTGACGTTTGAGTCTCTGGGGGTTTGCCCGGAGCTCTGCAAGGCTTGTGATGTTCTACAATGGGAGCATCCTTCCAAGATCCAGGAGGAGACTATTCCTTATGCACTGCAGGGAAGGGATCTTATCGCTTTGGCGGAGACTGGCAGTGGAAAAACTGGTAGTAGTCTACTGGGCTAGAGAGTAGATAGTGATAGTAAACTGGACCACAGAGTAGATAATGACAGTAAACTGGGCTAGAGAGTAGATAGTGATAGTAAACTGGGCTAGAGAGTAAATAGTGATAGTAAACTGGGCTAGAGAGTAAATAGTGATAGTAAACTGGGCTAGAGAGTAGATAATGATAGTAAACTGGGCTAGAGAGTAGATAGTGATAGTTCACTGGGCTAGAGTAGATAGTGATAGGAAACTGGGCTAGAGAGTAGATAGTGATAGTAAACTGGGCTAGAGAGTAGATAGTGATAGTAAACTGGGCTAGAGAGTAGATAGTGATGATGCTGGTGAGTGATATGCTCGGATGTAGCATGTAACTCGTTATTTATCGGTCTGAAGTGAAATTGAGAGTATAAAATAGTAGTTCACTGGGTTAGAGAGTATATAATGGTATTTTGCTTAGGCGCATTCGCTATTCCTATCATCCAGAAGCTCCTGGATGCGGCCCCCCACCGGAAATTGACATGGGCTTGCGTTCTCGCACCCACTCGAGAGCTCTGTGTACAGGTAATAATACAACTATAAAACTGAAAATTCAAAGAGTTCGGTCAGATCGGGCAGCAATTCGAAGGTCTTGGTGCCAGTATTAACCTCACTACTGCTACTATAGTTGGTGGTCTCGACATGGTCACACAGGTGAGGACCATTGTGCTAGTGGTTGTTGTCACTATTTTATCTAAGGCCATGTCCCTCTCTAAGAAGCCTCATATCATCGTGGCATCACCGGGCCGTCTTGTCGACCATCTCGAGAACACCAAGGGCTTCCACTTGAAGACCATTAAGTTCTTGGTTATGGATGAGGCTGATAGACTGCTAGGTAGTAGGGACATGTTTTACGGACTTCCCAACCCGACTCAGGTATGGACTTTGAGGATGCTCTGAATAAGATCGTCCAGTCTTGTCCTCGGGATCGGCAAACCTTCCTTTTTTCCGCAACCATGACCAGTAAGATTTACCCATTTTCACTGCCTTATGGTTTGTTTTTTGTAAGATAAAGTATCGCAACTGCAGAGAGCGTCTCTGACTAGGCCTGTCAAGTGCGAAGTTGCAAGGAAGTACTAACTTGCTCTCACCTAGTCGGTGTCGAAATGCTCCCCATTTAAGATTCGATGTTGCCAAAGGGTTAGTCCAGAACTACATGTTCGTGCCGCATAAGCATAAGCACGCTTATCTGGCCGCTCTGTTGGCCCACTTCAAACTCAGTACGCTGTGAATCCCCTCTACAGTCAACCTGGGCATTTTTCCAGGTACTGTGATGATTTTCGTCGACACCTGCCTCAACGCTCAGCGGATGGCCACTACTCTGAGGCACCTCGGCCACAACTGCGTATGTCTGCACGGCAAGATGACGCAAACACACCGACTTGGTGCCCTCAACCAGTTTCGGGCAGGTATGGAATTTTAATAACACCTTGCGTTGATATATTCATATAAGGTACTCGATCAGTTTTAGTAGCAACAGATGTAGCGGCGAGGGGTCTGGATATTCCCAGTGTGGATGTTGTTATCAATTTTGACGTGCCCAAGAACCCTGAGGTAACATCATTACTCGCAGCGAGCTGTAATGGTATTCACATCAGGAATACATTCACAGAGTGGGCCGCACTGCGCGGGCTGGCCGGACTGGTCGATCGGTGACTTTGGTTACCCAGTACGACATCGAACCCTTCCAGAGAATCGAAAACAAACAAGGTGCGGTCATCTGCGATCAGCCGGTGACGTGAATTGAATATGGTAGGGAAGAAAATGGAGGAGTTTCCCGAGGTTAAGGAGGAGAATGCCATCTCGCTACAAGAAAAAGTTTTGGAAGCTCTTCGTAAGTTTATCGGCAATGAACTCGATGGAAAAGTGATTGCTGTAGGCTCGACACAGTTAGAGATGCGCGAGCAGGAGGAGGACATCAAAGAGTAGTTGAATGGGCTACTCGTGTGTATTGTTGAATATGTGTACGGCGTTGGTTAGGGCCTTGGCAGGAAAAAAGGGCGGACGGGGTGGCAGAAAGCGTCAACACCAAATGATCTTGCAAAAGCTGGCCCAAGGGAACAAGAACAGACGATGATAATCGTTGTATAGTTGAGCACAATCACTGTCCAACATCGTTGTTGCTATGTAGCGTTCCTCACTCCACCCCACGTCACCGTTTCTTATGATTTACTTGGATGTTGTGCGTCATAGTGTTGCAGATGAAGCTCTTAGAGAGCGATCCCATAGACGAACAACACGACAATACCCACAACACGAAAGAGCTGCTGTTTCGAGTTTTGTTCATCTCTGGGATTGCATATCATTGCTGTACTCATTACCTGATAATTATACCTGCGCGAGAATCTCATACGTACACAAGTATTCTCTTGTCGTTGAGCCAATGCACAACGTGTTAAGAGGTTCGGTGTTATCACCACTCTCTGCTGCTCAGTCGGCTAACACTCACTGAGTGTCACCCAGTCTCACCCAACTCTCCCAGATAACTAATGTGATGCGGTGAAGTGTGCCTTGAAGATCCATCATACATGATCGAACTATTTGCTAGAGGAGTTCGCAAATTAGTAGACCGAGGATCAACTGAGTAGACATTATTATTTCCGGGATTGTGCCACTGTATGTTTCATCATGCCTCGCTGTAGGTTGTCGATGATGAGAACTTGTCGTTAGGCTGACCGAGTAGCATAACCGAACCTCTGGGAGTATACCTACGCATGTGATGTGAAGTTATCCATCGTAGATACCGAGAAAATCCGAATGATACTCAAGGACATTCAAAACAATTGAGGAGTCGGGAAACCACGTGTTAGCATTTCACCCTCAACTGCCGTAGGCTGAGGGGCTACTAGACCCTCAGCCTGCGGCAGTTGGGAAACAAGTAGACCCGGTCTACTTGTTGGGAAACTACGTGAACCAAGTTTTATTCCACCGAGTTACTGCAGGGTCTTCCACCGAGTTACTTTCGCTACTTTTCAGCCGAATACCGAGACACGACTCTGTCGATAACGTCTCCACCAAAATCCCCGATGCTTGCGCACCCCTCTTTGATTCATTGATGAATCACCTGCATTCGGGATAGCTAACGTTTCGTAACGTAGACTGACGACTTCCCCAAAGCCGCTATGAGTCTGACTCTTCCATAATACCTCTCGAGAGTAATGACCAGAAGTGGCGGCATCTTGTAGCAGACCACATGTTAGATGCAACAAGACGTTGAGAATTCAACCCAATGACTATCCTGGCAGAAACACGATCGGCTGTACAACTTAATTGGCTACATTTGGCTTCGGTCAATTCATACGATATTGTCATGTCGTTCAAGGTCGGCGGTGATGCACTTGAAGCGTTCGGACAGGACAATAGCTAGGGCGTAGCTCACATTGAAGCTGTGATGTGTTCCCTCCGCTGTGGGTATCTGACTCGACTTATCGGGCCCGACCACCCCTGTGATGATTTCTACGATGGAAAGCATATACGCTTCTCTAGAACGACTCACACTGAGAACAGCTTGAGCCTTTTGGAGTATGTCGTTCGATACACCCTCGGCTTCTCCTCCCGCTACAAGCAGTATGCGTGGGGTCTCTAGTAAGCTTGAACTCGCGGACGGTTTCGACAGATCAACCCATGGCAACTGAACGATCGGCGCATCGTATCGAGCCAGAGAGCCGCAGTGATCATATGTACACCCCGGGCAGATGCTTCCTCTTTGTTTTCCAGCGCAAACACGGAAAAGCCGTAGTTCTGCTGTAAAGCCTCGATAAGTTGTAGAGAGTCAAGACCATTGCATATCGGAGGGCCGCCGAGTGTACTGTAGTGGGAGTACTCCAATGCACGCTCGAGAGCTTCCCTGAACAAATCCACAAATGCATCCATAGTGTGATGAGATGCAATATAATTTGATCCTCGTGAGAACGATCAGAATTCCTCCGCACTCACTCAGTGATAGTATCCTTCTCCAAGGCCAACGCTGACACTCCAAAGGCGTGGCTGTACCGTATAATCCGTGCTATGTTGCCGGGGTACCTACCCTATAGTGACTCGATCATGATGGTAATAAGCACTTACTGTACTCCGTCGAGCATCACCACTGTCTGAGGGTTCGTACTATCCACGTCAATGCCTGGCAAGTGCTTCAATATAGCACTGGGCGTACTCGCTCGTAGGGCACATCGACGCCGGAGCATCCACAGTTGAACCCGAGAATTCTCTACAACTCCAAGCAACCAGTGAGCGCAAATCAAGACTTGTAACAGGAAACGTTAACAATACCAGTTATAGTGAGCACCAACTCGTCCCATGTATTTCTTTTGAGCTACTAGAAGCGCCCCGAGATCAGAAACTCCTACAGTAGTGTACCGCAGACCATCATTAAAGCTTGGCTGAGGAAATGTGGCAATTACATTATAGAGCCATCCATGACCAGAGCGGGAGACTGGGCCTTACCTTACAACGACAGAGACGGATACAAGATGTGGTAAACGCTATGAGCATTCTTCGATGAGGCGCGCCCCACTGATCGCCGATAAGGCAACAGTGTGTTGTACTGGTAACTCAAGAGGTTAGTGATGGTAAGAGTAAGAAAAGGGGTGATCCGTGGTGAAGGGAAAGTGGCAATTCGAGATTGCCTTTGAAGAGAAATCAACCGGGTTGTTATGACGAACCCAGACTGTTGACACAATGAGAATTAATGATATAACAATTACAATCAGAAGTCTTCATAGTAGTTACAAGTGTAAGCCTATAAGCTGTTCTCCATAGTCGTTCATGATCATGTGATACATGGCTTCCCCGTTGTCAACTCCCGCACCATGTTGATCAAAAGCGCTCAAGAGAATCTAAAACCGTCACAGACACATCACTAAAGTGGAAACGCTGAGTACAGTATAACTCTTATACAATTCACATTTCTATAGAAGTCGACCCATGATCCCCTATGCGTTAAGCAACGACGAATGCCTCAGTAAAATAGAATAGATCCTTCACAAAATTCAAGAGGGTTGCCCCCCTCCGGACTGACCTCTTGCGGCCATGGTGGATTGATCCATCTCCATGATCCCGCCCTAAGCTCGCCGTACAGCTGACCAGGAGCCCATCGTGCACAGCCGTCGAATATTATCGCATGGGCTCTCTCATCTCCTGCCCCACGGCCCTGCCGGGCAATCCCTGCTAGTACTGCGGTCAAGTCCCCTCCGAGATAGACAGAATCCTCACGGTCTTGCGAGAGGAGCACCCGAGCACCCACAACACCGCGGGCCTTGTGCATGATCTAACATTATAGCCCTACAACAAGTATCTCGCTGGACCAGACTAACTCACCCGTCGTTCTTCGTTGATCCGAACTGGCCCGCCCCTGACCGTCAGAAGCTCTACAGGGGGGCCCTCTGCGGCATCGCGGGAGTCGGCGATCGGAGACCTCGCCACAGGCTTGTTGAGAATCAATGCTAGAGACCCCATGTGGTCGTGCTCCAATACAAGGGCGACACTCCGGTAGAAGATCGATCCCGGTCCGACTACACGAGTGACGTAGTAAGTAGTCTGCCTGCCGTTGACTCACTCATGTTGTCGTTTGCAACGAGCAAGGCCCCCTTGTGGAAGTTGGGCACCGGGGCTCCGTGACGTATAAGGGCTACTCGGAAGCCGCCCTCATCATCATGCGTTATGACGGGTCTAATGCCGAAGGAGTGCAGTGAGGCACACAGACCGATCGCCATCAATGCACAAAGTATAGGGCATCTGAACGACAGAGACGATTCGATAACAGCGATGGGTCGCCATACCGCACCTGTAGGCGAGCACCAGCATCACAGCCATAACTCCGACGAAGATCAATGACCGATTCAAGAATATCGCAAAGGTGATCGTGAACAACGTCAACATGAGGTCCTTCGCTAACGCCCATAGTCTTTCCCACAGCGGTCGCTCAGGAGGACTCAGAGCGAATCTACCCTGAGTATTAAAAATGTGAAAACCAGCTTGTGTTTTCTTTTCCTACTTGGCACACACTGCATGTCGTTGCTTTGTCACTCATGAAATCACCCGGCCCGAGAGCCTGTGTCGCACGCTGCCACCGTCGCAGACACGATACATGTACATACTGGAAAGGAAACCGCAAATAATACAGAGTTGATGAATTCTCACGAACCTTCTGTGAACCTTTGCACATACAAGGGGCGATCAGCTCGTTGCCTTTAGTCTCCCCATCGCTGAAGCATATGCGACAGAGCAACTCTGTGGATTCGTCACTGGCATCACTCTCTGTGGGATCAGTAGGCACTTTGTCACTACGCTTTTTCAGGACGGAAGGCCCCATGTGAGCAACAGAACTGAGGTAAGTCTCTTTTCTCCGAGCTCAGAATTCCTTAGGTTGACAATCAGCTAACAGGCTGAGACGACATAGGTGTATTCCTTCATATCAACAGAGCGCCTTGCCTGGCAAACCATTTCCGAGTGGTATAAATGAAAGTGATGTACAGCAGTTTAGGAAAACTTGCACATGATGATAAACTGCATGTGTTGGTCTGTGCATTTCTTGTCAATTCGTTTGTAAACTTCTATAATTAGTGAGGAAACTATTGAGCTAAGCTGGGGAAAGCGATTACATATATTCCAACATTACAGAGTCGGCACAGTACCACCAGCAGCTGGGCTCTCGGGATGCTGCGGTTCAGCCCGGCGTCTCAGAGGTGCACAAGTCGAGGCTCGCTTGCTCAATACGACATCATACGGCTTGTGCCCCGAGTGACCAAGATTCGCCAAAGGAGTGGTATAGCGTGACCACTCCGTAGAACTTGCAAAGTCAGCTTCTCAACAGCGCCGCAGACACTCGTCAAACATTATACGCTTACTGCTATCCCGAGTAGCAGCGAGCGGAAGACTCCTTCGATAGTGAGCACCACGCTCGAGTAGAGGCCGATGCCGCTGGCGCCTGTCGATGCTGCTATGTCTCCTTTGGCACTTATCAGCACATTTGAGTACCTCACATTTCGAGGATCCGCTTATGGTGGGTGGCATAACCCCAGAGGGCTAGCCCATGGACTGCTCAACTCGAACGGTTGAGTAGAGCCTACAGCTACCTGTCATTCAGGGGCTACTGTTCCGATTAAAACAAAATATTGCATTGAGTCAGCCGGTGTCCGATCGCTGTGTATATGGCCTTAAGCCTACCATCTCATCGGCGGCATTGTGCATAGCTTTATAAGAAACCAATTCCTCTGGTGCCAGAGGGTACTCCCAGTACTGTGGGACTCGGAGTGCGATATGGTCAGTACTCCACACAAGAATTCACCACTGCCCAGCCTACAACGATATGACTCCCACCATATTGGGCTACGAAGCCGATACAGCAGTGGAAAACAACCACCCCTAGTCATGAAGTTGAGGGAGACACAAAAGGGCATTTTAACTAGTGCGGCAGACAGGAATTGAGCAATGACCAGGGGCTGAGAGCTCACCTGCGTACCTAGGGAGAGAGGTGACAGTCGTGGTAGGAATCACAAGTGAAAATAACACTGTCCTCGATCGGAGACTCTCAATCTTCCCAGGAAAGGCTTCCTATTCGCCACATACTACAGCCCGATCCCACCCGCCACATGAGTTCACTACAAACCAAACCGCACTGCGTTAGAGCAGAAACATCATGCACACTCCCCAACCACGCTCACTTGCCCTTGATAATCTGACGATACGCCAGCGTAAGTCGCTCCCTCATGTTCTGATCGATATGCGGCCCAGGACCAGCCCGATGCATCTCTACGTGCTTCACTAACTGACACCATGGACGGCTCATCGAAGCCCTGTATGCAATGCTCAACTACCTGAAGGCTCCTGTACCAACCCAGGCCTGAGTTCCGCTTCACTTCCATACGAAACTGCTTCTTAACATCTAACAACATCCCCTGTTGCTCCTCTAGCCTCCTCTGTGCTACGCCAGCTCGCCGCGCCTCTATACGAGCTTGCCTTGAGGCTTTCTGTCAAAAAACCAACGTCCCCAAAATGGGGGCATTATACCGTCGTACAGCGGGGCCCTTTATCGAAATACAAATAACTCAGGAAAGAATTTCGTGATGCGAACGCATCCACGAAGCCCTGTACTACCTTCCTTGTGCCGAAGACACGTATGGGTTTGACCTTGAAGTAGGAAGCAGCACTTCGAATTGACCCCAAGGATCCCCAGAGTAGCCCTCGCGAGAGATACTGCTGGCCGATACTGAGTAGCTGTAGCGACATAACAAACCACGCCTAGAGTTCACCACCTCTAATTGAGGACTTAGCAACGCTAGGATTCCTACATGGAAACGACAAAGGTCTCATTGTGGTCCACATGACACAAAGGATGTATTAAACAAGCTGTGCATGGCTCTACTAGAGTCTCTGTGTAGGACATCGAAACACTCATGGAAATGACTCCTAGTAACTAGAGGGACATGAGCTAAGCATGAGCATTTGGTCTAGTCCGGACTCACTGGACCATCATGATCACGACATTGATGTACAGAGACCATCAAGGGCAGCCCCCTGGACACAAGGCAGAAGGTAGTAACTTGTATGAATAACAACAGAAAGCCGAAGAGCATCGTCCAAGTGTTGAAGCTGGACTCAACTACCTTGGTGAAAATTCCTGAGCGCCGACGGGCACTAATGCAGAATCGGCAGCGATCCAGGAGCATATCCGGTCCGATCAAAATCAGCAGAGTCTCCAAACTCCTGGCAAGTCGCATTATTCTCTGGAGGTCATAAGACAATGGTAACGACAGTTAGCCTTGTTGTACCTTCAAACCACTGGAATTTGCTGCAGAGGTGAAGGGTGAGTGATCGAGATGACAATACTAGAGATATTGATGTTGACGAGAAATGATGTGACCTGATGACCAAGTCACAACAGTGACTCATCGTCATTCATGTGGTTGTGTTAGTCTAGAGCGGCGAAGCAAGCACGATTTTAGACGGCCGTGATTTTTTTATGAACGGACGTACTGAAGCGTTACCATCAACTCTGTGGACAGTGTTGGAATATATGTTTGCTTTCCTCAACTGAGTTCAAGAATTTCTTCACTATGCGTGTACAGAAACCAATAAGAATTTCCTCAATTTTCCTCAGAATTTCCGCACATGTCACTTACACATGTAGTTGACCATGTGCGTATTTTCCCACACCGTCTGTGGAGGTTTGAGATGTATGCCTAAAGGCGTAGTGGATCGGCAGCAACACTAGAAATGTTTAGTAAATGCAAGATTCCAAGAATGACAAGAACCCTAATCGTCACACGCCACGAAATTACTAAGGACAACAACTTAACTGTGACATGACATCCAACGCTTAGCTAGCGCAGCTCGACTACTACTAGCAGTTGAAAAGGAATCGTTCATGGTACAACGAGCCTCTAGGTTAGGTGAGGGTTTCCCTATAAGGCTCGTTGAAAAGGGAGTATATACAATCTCTTGTTGGCTCTCGGGTTGGGCTGCTGTGTGTCGCAAGCTAAGTTGATGTATGCGATCGAGGGAGTAGAGTAGAGCTCTCAGATTCGATGGGTAGTCGCTCAGCTAGTACTATGGGAATGTGTGTTTTCAGCCGAATCTACCGAGAAGGGTTAATGAAGTGTTTTCATGTAGTTTTGTTGTTGCTGTTATGTTGTCATCGTCGGTGGGCATTCGCTCGAGTCAACTGGCCCCAATGGGCATTAGGTTCTTCGCCAGCAAGGCCCCCAAGCTGGTCTTGACCCTTAACTGCGGTTCCAGCTCTATCAAGTACCAACTCTTGGACATGAACTCTGAGGACTGCAAAGTGAAGGGTCTGATCGATTCGATCGGCACTGAGAACTGCAAGCTCCGTTTCGACGCTGAGAGCCCTAATGAGAGAGTTGAGAAGATTCCCAACATGTCCTATGAGGATGCTATGACTTCGGTTATCGAGGATATCAAGTCCAAGCCCGAGGTCAAGGAGGAGGGTATCACTGGTGTTGGCCATCGTGTCGTTCACGGTGGTCCTAAGCTCACTCAGCCTACCTTGGTCACCCCTGAGGTCCTGCAGGAGATCAAGAACTGCATCAAACTAGCTCCTCTTCATAACCCTGCTAATGCTGAGGGTATCGAGATCGCTGGCAAGATTCTCGGTTCTGAGGTTCCCCATGTTGCTTGTTTCGATACTGCCTTCCATTCAACTATTCCCGAGTACGCAAGCACCTACGCTATCCCTTATGACATTTCGAAGGAGCTCAAGTTGAAGAAGTACGGTTTCCATGGCATCTCGCATCAGTACGTGTCGTTGAAGGCAGCTCAGGATCTCCATTTGGACCCCGCTCGCTCCAACTTCATCGTTGCTCATCTCGGGAGTGGTTGCAGTGCCACTGCTGTCCATAACGGCAAGTCTGTTGATACCACTATGGGTATGACTCCCATGGATGGCCTTGTCATGGGAACCCGTGCTGGTAACCTTGACCCTGGTGTAGAGCAGTATCTCTGCGAGCAGCTCAACCTTTCCATTGAAGAGGTTACGAATATTCTCAACAAGCAATCTGGTCTTCTTGGTGTCAGTGGTATTTCCAACGATATGCGTGTGCTTATTGAAACCTCTGAGGATGAGTCCGTGGATCCCGAGAAGCGTCGTCGTGCCAAGTTAGCCATTGACATGTTTGTATACCGCCTCAGTCGTTATATTGCATCTCTGATGATCTCCACTGGTTCTCGTCTGGATGCCTTGGTCTTCACTGGCGGCATTGGTGAGAACTCTTCCTATATCCGCTCTCGTGTGATGCAGTCTCTCAAGTTCATGAGGTTCTTCGAGAATCCCAAGTACAACGCTGATAACGGTGCTAGTTCTGGCGGCATCATCACTGATTATGACAGCCCCACTACGGGTATGGTTATTCAGACCAATGAAGAGCTTCAGATCGCCAGGGAGGTGTTGCAGGTGCTCAAGGCCGTTTCGAAGGAGAACTAAGTCTAGGATATGTTGTCGGCTATTTATCTATCTTGGTATTTTCGATCATCAAGGTAACTTGATCATTCTGTGAACAATAGTACTTCCAAGGGTGTCTGTGTAATAGCTCACTAGATGTGTAGCACCCTCTATATAGAATTGTGCAATCTCTGCCCACTGTTCAGCTTCAGAGTTCTTGGTTGTGGTGTTAATAGTTAGTAAGGAAATGGCATGCTTGTCGTTCTAATGGCTCTCCCAGGCTGGCAATAGGAGTTGATCGGCGATAGTCGGTGGCATCACGTAAAGTCCTTGATTCGAGGGCTTTGTATGAGCATTGCTTCAAGTGATATGAATGCGCCATTCGATGTAGTCTTATCTAATAGGAGTTACTGCGGGACTTCTACCTCAAGTAATGTTGAAGGAACACCGATTGAGTTTTGGTGTAGCTCCAATTGTACAAGTCGATCACTAAACGTGACCTTCTTATTGTGTAAATGGTTCTGACATAACCGGGTTATGACAACTCGCATCTCATATCACTGTTTCCATCACGTGTGTTCGAGTACACTGGCAGTGGTGTCTAGACCTAGGATGTTCACAAGAATGCCATCTCCTTCTGGTGGTCACACGTCTCTTCCTCTGCCTTTCGGACAACTATAGGGGAGTATGCTCTCTGACAGAGTCTCTGTGCCAGAGCGAACGGGTGGGACGAGCCCAAAGCTTGCCCCGAGTAGCCTATTTGTTTCATCGGTTGTAACATAGGATCCAAGAGAAGATAACCCTGCAATTTGTAGGTTTCCTATCATGCACATATGGTAACCTATGATTAGGAATCCTGCTCATAGGATTCCTATGGCCCATGCCACCTACAATGCAATCATAGTGGCTCTACTCGGCCGCCTTATCACGCCGCTCGATCAGGCACCCGGCGCCACCACCTGAGATCGTTGACTTCAACAGGGCGAATCAGTCGACACTCTCGTGACGAGGGCCTCGTCCCTGAGCTCAATAAGCTATACTTCGAAGCCTTCGAATCGGATCCCACATTGCCGCTTCGTGGGTATCTCAGCGCCAGTGTTTCGTTTTTCATAATGCCCAGAAGATGGAATAATAACGTCCATCACAAAACCATTTATCACAGCTTTGCAGCCAACGTAGACGGAGTGGATGCGGAGAAGAAGGAAATGGTGGACCGAATGAGTCCACGTTGATGGTCTTAGCTAGTTCTAATGAGACGCTCCTCGAGGGAGATGTTGCCTCTGGTTCGCTCTCATAGTCAACCCAACACGTGGTGATTGTGCGTATGACAATGGAGATAACAATGGGATCAAAAGAGGTTTGTGCACCAATCTATCTTGTACATGCGTGCTACACCTAATGTAAAATGCTGAAGAATCACAAGGGAACAAGTTGGCACCATTAGTCCGCATACAGCAACAGCGTCTCCTACGTATCTATACCCTTCTCCTACTTATCTATACCCCTAACTTCATTCTCCCGGCTTGTATACTCCACGATTTCGTTGGATGAAATTGGTATAGTGTTTGGTGAATTCGAAATTCTATTATGGAGTCTCGAAAGTTGAATTTTCATTTCGAAATTCGAATCTGAACTTGCATTATGCGAGTTCAGATTCGAACCTCGAGATGAATACGCTTTCATTTTAGGCTAGAGCTAAAGCCTCTAGCACGAACTACTTCCTCCGCAGAATCACTTGAATTCAATTCCGACTCGCTGCGGCGACGCACGGGCTACTGCTGACCGTGTCCGTGACACCGGAACATTCTCTGTGACGCCGTGGCGCGGTGACACCTTAAGGTGAAGGAACGGTTACTGTGTTGTTCAGGCTTCTTTAAACCATTTGCCTTTGAGGTATGAGAAGTCTTATATCTGAATATGGCTCATCGGATACGTCGTCGGGCTTCCTACGATGGTCGAGACCGGCGGAAAAGAAGCCGTCAGTATTCCACAGATTCGTTCGGGCGCTTAAAGTCGCGCTCGAGGAGGACTACCGTCGCAGTAGGCTAACTGTGGCGGTGCTATGTGGCGTGATATTGTTGTCTATTCTTTCGTACATTTTGACCCTGCTGATGATCACTTATCGGCCTTCGTTACTTCTAGCAATATCTGTCGAGAAAATCTCCATGCAAGAGGTTTGGTGCGGTATGGTCACACTTGTCGGCGAAGCGAGGTATTGCGCACGAGGTACAGCTGAACTGAGGGTGCGGAATAAATTATGGTGTGACTTAACGATCCGCAGCTGGTTTATAGGGACGCCATATAACTACATTCATCAACTGGAGGATATCAATGTTGGAAATTATGAGATTGACGGAACTGTTGTAAAAGCATTTGATGAAAGTGTCTTGGTTTTGCCGGTTACTCTAGTATCGTTCACGGGTGACGACAGTTGGCTTCCTAAGACGAATCATTTTGCTCTACAGCTGGATGTCTTCGCGATGGGATGGCGCTTCAACGCTCTAGAATATGATGTACTGCAAAAGCCGAATTTCATCGTTCCTACTTGATCAGTGCGAGCTGTTCTCGGACACCAATGTTGAACGATGACTCTGCCGGTGTCGGTGCCTTCTATTTCGTTACATAAGTTATCGGATTAGCTGTCGCATAGAGTATCCAATCCAGTGTTATCAGTGCTTTGTACACTTCTTTGATTTGGAACTACGTCTTTCTGACCGGGTTCAATGTTTAAACTCTCTTTCTATTATTCGGTGAGTATACTTTGCAGTTGTGTAAAAGAGTATGTAAATCATTGGTTCCCGATTTATCCGGTTTGCAGTTTTTCAGGGCGGCGTTATGTGTTCGGAGCATCTGGAGTACTTCTGTCTATCAGATGAGACCTAGTGGACTCCCGTCGTAAGTTATGTCCAGTTGACTAGAGTTGCATAGAGCTCTCACATTCAATTTGGCGGAAAAGGCGGCGGGCCACTTCTCGCCAGACAGTTGCGTAGACACATAGCTCTTTGTTCGTTCCTATACTGAGTTGTTGCAGACAATTGGTTCATCTTCGAATGAGTGAGGTTCGCTGTGGAAGCGATTTGGGAAGACTTGAAATTGGTCAAGGAAAGTGCGGACTTGTAGTGGAAAGTCTCGATCAGCAGAAATCAGGATGGGAATATTATATATTTCGACGTTGAATAGACGTAAATGACCGTGATAGCTAGCATAGCATATCCCTAACATAGGAACCCCATGCATTGAAGCTTATACAGCGGAGGAGTTGATGAGGGTCGAATCGCGGAAAAAATTGGAAGGACCCCATGACGACAACTACTTGTGAAAGAACAAATTTCGGTGTACCTTATCGTTATCGGAACGGCTTCTCTGTTGTGATTTCCCTCTTGACTTATCAAAACCATACTTCAGCCAGTAACAGGGATATAGGAAGAGATGCTGATCTGATGCTAAAATATGCACCACAATATCGTAATACGTTCAAAACACCATCTAGCGAGGAGAGACAAATGCACAGCCTAGCTCAGATAATTACACAATAATATCACAAATTACATACGGTATCCTTGTCGGAGGGAGTTCACTACATAACAGCCCCCTGAAATGAGATAGCAAGCATTTACATCCTCGCTGACTTCTTAGCTCGGTCAGCAGCTTCTGCAGTCCAACTCTCAGCTCGAGCACGCTCTGGAGCACGTATCTGGAGTTGCTGGTTGGTTGAGTCACTCGCACCCGATGACTGCGATTGTGCAGGATCAGCTGCTACATCTTCATCTGAACAATGACGCTTACAGTTACCAAGCCAATGAGTCTCGACACCATTTGAAGTAGTTATCATCACATGACGTCCTCTCGTAGCCAGCACTGGAAAAGGGCCTCGAAAGGTAGGAGATAATTTATGAGCTCTCTCTGTGAAAACATAAACCATTTCACCGGGCTTGAGGTTGCTCTCATACTTGATCACTGGCAAAGACCGTTCTCGCTGGAGAAGCCACTCCTTGACGAATACACCGAGGAGTTTTCGCCGATTCCCACCAACTGCATCAGCAACCTTCATTAAGTCAAATACGGAGTTCGGCCTTGATAATATCAATGAATCATCAGCACCCTTCATACAAGGAACTGGCAAGGTGCGACCATAAAATAGTAAGGCAGGACAAATGCCACTCTGACCGATTTCACCATGATTCACCAGCCACTTAACTTGCTCCAAAACCAACTCGTCATGCCAGTCTGAGCCACCATCGCTAAGGACGAACTTCCTCAAAGCTTCCAATATTATCCTATGCCGTCGTTCATAATAACCTCCTGCTTCAGGATGATTACTGGGATGTATATTCCAAGATATGCCCACACTCTCAGCCCAAGACTGAACCAATCTTGACGAGAATTCACCATCAGAGTAACATACCCTTGGAAATCCACAACGCATGAAAATCAAAGTCATCCCTCGTACTAAGGACTCCGCCTTAGTATCAGGAACGATTTGAAAGTCACAGTAGGCAGTATACCAGCAAGTACAGGTTAAGAGCTTTCCCCCTGAACCAACATGAAGGACATCTACTCCTACACGTTGCCATGTCGCCGCCATACCCTCCACAGGACGACGAGTACCGTATGGAGCCAGCTCTCGGCCTTGTTTCGAAGCAGTCACTTGACACACACCACAAGCTTGACAGACACTACGACAGAGGTTCCCCATCTTCGGAAACCAACACCAGTCCGAGAGCAGAAACTTCAGCTGTCTCGAGTTAGCATGACAGTCTGCATGCGCTTGCATCACCAATTCCTTCCTGACCTCGACAGGCAGTACAAGTTGCTTAACAATACTACCCAAAGCATTGAACCTTTGGACCCGGAAAACAACTCCATCATCATCTTTGATGAAGCCGTTACCTTTAGCAAGAGCTTGAACCTCAGCACATGTCTGCTGGGCTTCCCTGACTGCATCTAAGTCACAGTAACGGGGACACTGAAATGGTTCAATTGCTATATCGTCATCATCATCACCAAGCACATCCAACGTCTCAGCATAAAACTCACCAATAGCGTCTTCTTGTAAAAGACTACTTGAGATATGCAGAGGATCAACCTCAGTGACATCACCAGAGGCAAGATCCTGTGGTAGGACCCTTGCCATGGAATCCACAAGCTTAACCACTGAAAGACGAGGCACCCACAATGTAGCATCAACTGTCCGATGGTATTCAGTTACCATCCTAAGGTCCAGCTCGGTAGCCGCATGATCAGCTTCAAGAGTATGCCAATACCGACCACCAACAGTGTTAGCATTATCACCAATCATCACCACAGGAGAGGTGCATAGAGGGAGGAACCTATGCAGAGCTAACAACTGTGCTTTACGTTCACGAAAAGTTGAAGAGCGAAGCATATCCTCGTCCGTCACTAAACCACCATCGAGAGAGAGCGGGAGCAGCATACATACCTCATCATCGGCCAGCTCTAAAGATATTTCAGAGCACATCTTGATGGCCAGCCCATCAAGGGCGAGATGCCAGCCTATAGCTCGGGGACCAATATCCGCAATCTCACTCTTCTTGATTATGATAAGTTGAAACATGATGGCAGCCCAAGCATCCTTATTACAATCAACCATTATGGCCGTGCCAGCCACTTGGCAGCCCTCTCCATTACCAAGAACGTAGAGGCAAACCAGCCCCGATAAATAGTAACGAGCAAGCTCCTTCACCAAAGATGTTGCCTTCGAGCTCCTAGGATCTAGTCATTGAAGTCTACGAAGAATTACCTTGGCTTCTGGAGACAACCATTTAGAAAGCCATTGGAACCTACCAGCCCAGCTGCGGATCCAACTCTTTCGCTGTTCCAGATCATGGAATCTCTCAAAGTCTGTACAACTCTCCTCAATCAAGGCGGTAGTCAATGCAGGTCTCTTCACATTAGGGAAGACCTCACTTCGATAGCAACGAACTCCACAGAAATCGACCATGTCGCCAGACTCACATTTATCAAGTGCCACCGTAAAACCATATCGGGTAAATAGGTCGATCAAAACTTTTTTTGCTTGGAGAACACTATCCCTATCTCCCCCTCCTAATAGGCTCCATTTTCATCCTGAAAATGGATCAGTCTCACGGCTAGTCCCATTTTCTTACAGATGATACGGGCCTCTTCCAAAACCGACCCCACCACCCTTGAGAATAGGACCGGGCTGTATCGCCATCCTTGTGGTAATACAGTACACACCCATAGACACTCCACACCATTGGCATCAATAGTCCTACATACAAAGAGAGGCCAAAGTTCATCATCCAGATGAACGGATGAGAAGGCATCACTTAGGTCAATCTTAACAAAGAACTTTCTCATCGATGGCGGCCACAATCGCAAAATGATCAGAGCCCCATCCTGAGACTGAGTAACCTCACCACTCCTCCTAGGAATTGATGCGACATCAGATTTCATAACCCACACATAACCACCCGATTTATCAGGAGCCGTTTTCGGAACCAGTTGCATAGCATTAAGTCTTCTAAGATCCAAGGTCACTCTAAAACGGGCCTCAATCTGTTCATCACTCATCGAGCAGATATCGGACTGAGTCAGTGATGAGTCCTTAGAACCAGCCTTCTTATCAACCAAGACTACCTCGTTGATCACCATAGCCTCCTTGACAGTTGCCGCTCGAAATTTCTTCTCATTAGCTGCAATACAGAGCCTTCGGTGGATCGCTATCTCTCGAGTGCGATTACGCTTCCGCCTGGGCTCAGTGAATGGCATCACCGAGATACCACTGAGGGCAGGACACGAGACAGTAAACCCTGACTCACTCTGATGAATGGAGCACTTGTCCCTTACATCTAGAGGATGCAGAACATCAAGCTTATCACCATTCCCATCAGGCAATACAATCTGGGCCAAACCAGAGCTCATACCGGGTTCATCACCAAGACATACTATCAGCTTCCGCTTCAGATCCACTGAGCGCCTAATAGTCTCAATGCCTATTATAAAATCCGGCGACAGCCCCTCAATAACTTTGACCTCAACATGATCCACAATTACATGCTTGACCTCGTCCTCAATATTCACACTAAAAGCACCCAAAACTCGAGCATAATCTCCATTACCAAAAGTCACATTACCACATGGATCAAGATGGCCGTCAAGTATTTCTTCTTTGACCATATCCTTGAACACATTTGCATTCATATAAGCAGATCCATGGCCACCAGTATCAAGTAGAGCTGGAAGTCTGGCAGCATAGCCAGGTAATCCCTCCACTTGACGAATCACCAACCTTACAGTACAAGCACTGTCTCCTGCAAGGGCCAGAACATCATTAACGACAGTTAATTTCTCAAAGCTCTTGCTTTGAGAACTTACACCAATCTTAGCACCATCCTTCTCAACCTCCTTACTGGAAGTAGCAGCAGGATCCTTGCACTGTCCCGACTCTGTACTTGTATTCGCCATCGGCTGTGACAGTGATGGTGTAGCAGAAGGTATCATTGACCTCAGCACGGGACAATTACGGCGTAGATGTGGACCACTACAATGCCAGCACCTGAGAGGCCCTCTAGATCGAGTGGGTCTCTCTCCTTTCACCTCAGATGGAGAGTTCTTCGCCACCTCCAACGTAGCATTAATCGTCGGCGGTGATACCGTAGCTCCAAGATCTCCTGCTTCATCAGCAACAGCATTCACTGAAGAGTCAATGTTTGCATTCTCCCAAAGACTAAGCACAGAGCACAACTCGTTTACATCTCTTATGTGAGAGTAGGTAGCCTTGACTGCTTTCTGGTAATTGGGCTTCAGACCCTTAACGAACTTATCCAAGATCTCATCCTGTGTAATCGTAAGGCCAATACATTTACCCTCCATAACACCTTCTCGTAGTCGACCAATGTAGTCGCCAATGAGCTCATTACTCTGTTGTTTAACCTGCGATAGACGATTTCGGTAGCGAATACTATCATTCGTTACGTCAAAGGCCGAACGCAAAAAGGTCTCAGCAGCAGCTAGTCTACTCTCTATAGCACCCTCAAGTAAAAGATGCCTTTCTTCAAGCATATCAATGAGCTCGCTCTTGACACTGGGAGAGAGGCACTTGAGTAGAAACCTCCAACAGTTATCCAAGGAAAGACCATACAGTTTACAAGTTTGCAGCCATTCCTTGAGAAAGAAAATATGGGTCTTGGATCACTCCGTCCAGAGAACACCTTCCCACCTGCAGGTAACGGTAGAGAAGATATCACTCCCATAGATCGCACATTAGTAGCTTCGTCAGCCGAGGACTGCTTATCAAAATGATAATCGGCAATACTAGCAGTGTCACCACGGCTCGACTCTGAAGGAGCAACAACATCGGGAATACGAGCATGATATCTGTATCCACCAGTAAACTGCCTTTGTTGTAAAATACTCCTACCAGTAGTCGACTTAGTCGCAGAGCATGTTTGCCAGAGATGCCTCAACTTCAAGCACTCGTTCATATCATCACCAGCAGTCTTCTTGATCAAGGCATCAACTTCATCTTGACGAAGGTACATCACATAGCGAACATCCAGACCAGTTGCTCGAGCAAAATCTTGTCGGGCAGTCTCTTCCGTCTCATCATTAATCCTGCATTGGGTACCAATGTTGTGATTTCCCTCTTGACTTAACAAAACCATACTTCAGCCAGTAACAGGGATATAGGAAGAGATGCTGATCTGATGCTAAAATATGCACCACAATATCGTAATACGTTCAAAACACCATCTAGCGAGGAGAGACAAATGCACAGCCTAGCTCAGATAATTACACAATAATATCACAAATTACATACGGTATCCTTGTCGGAGGGAGTTCACTACACTCGTTTGTTGTTTCCCCTCCCGTGGACCTGATAGACGTTGCTGTTTTCCTATGGATTTATAGCGTGCACTGAAATGAGCATTCCAGCGATTGCTTTGCTCACTCCCCCGCAATAGACTTAACTCGTATTCTTGGATTCGTTCACGTTGAGTTGAACCAAACAGTGTGGGGGTATCTGCAACTGTTCTGTAGAAGCGGACACGGCTCCAGGCTCAGCTCGCGGCTGAGTGGGCACAAGTGAAGGCGAAGATGGTGGCAAACGCCTGGCCAAACTGGCGGTGCAGACTGGAGTCGGCTTGCAAGGCCCAACGGGACGGCGAAGGCGAACTACTCAGGTGGGCAGTGCTTGCTAGTTGCGGCGCTGATATGGAAGAGGAAGCAGAGGAACCCCTGTTAATTGCGAGAGACGCAGGCCTTCCTTGAAGTTTCCTGCTGGCCCGTTCAGAACCTCAGAAATATCTATTTCGTCGATAGCTAACAGTGCAGCCACCTCAAGCAGCCTCGAGCCAGGATTGCAACGAAAGGCGCCGCCGGGGCTAGAGCGGCGTCGGCAAATACGTCTGCCGCCTTCAGAGTGGGTACCCGCAGCGACAACCAGGAATTTGACTCCTACGCAGAGTACTCGTAGCGTGCCGACGAGAGCCATTCGGAATTGCCGAGCCACTGCTTCTGTTTATGAGTACGAGAATCTATCAGTTAGGTCGGACCATGACGTTATAGAACGCTGCTGTTCCATTGCAGGGATCAGTAACGTCTCCAAGCTAAGTGTTAATCACAGCAGAAGTAGACTGGCGGGCAAGCCTGGGTTAACCGCTGTGAATGGAGGAGACTGGGGCTCGTCCTCGAACAGAGCTATCTCAGCTCCCATTCCTGGACGCCGAGTGAGAGTCGCCACTGAGTCAAGCACGAGGGATGGTTGGTTTCACGGAGCTACCGAGCTTACACGTCCAGAATTGGACGGGGGAAGGCGGCAAAGTCATCGTTGCCGACTACTGCACGGCAAAAGAAGGGGTGACACCGTGTCGCCGACACGACGCTGATGGTGTCACCATGGTGCAATAATTCGCACCAATGCAGCTACCATGTAGCAACTACTGATTCTGGTTTCTCACAACCCCGAATGTTGTTTTGTATGAGTTCATATCACAACGCCAAGCTAAGACATTCAGAAACATGAAAATCGTGCTGGTAGTCACACCAAAGGCGGCTTTATCGGGCCGAGGTACTCTTCAGGCTGCAACTTGGGCCTGACAATCAATGTGAGTCGGCGGCACGTACTGGGCATTGCCCCTACCGGAAGTTCTCGGGCAAAGGCATCATGGCAGGGGTGAGCGCAGGAAGGCCCTCGGCTATCTCGACTCTGAGAATAGCGCATTGATCACTCTTTGAGTGGTTCTAGTTAAGACCTGCAACGACGCATCTGGTCTGCTAGCTGGGCACACGTCCGGACTGCTTGATCGAACAACCTAGAGGAGAAGCTGGCCATGGGTAGAGTGTTGTAATACAGTACTCATCGCGGCACTGGTCGTAGTATTGTTTATTAACGTGGTAGCACTTGAATTCTCCCTGGTATCTGTAGCACTGGTCATAGTAGCGACGGCAAAGACCTTACGAGACTTCTCGTTCCCATTTTGATCTCTTCTCGTCGTGTATCCAATCCTTGCGCTCGTGGAGGAACGTGGCAAAGCTGTCAATAGATATCAACGCTTTTAAACCCGGCGTTCCAATGCATCGGTGGAATCAGTGTTGGAATATAAGTTTGCTTCCCTCAGCTGAGCTCGGGAGTTCCCTCGCTAATTAAAGGAGGATATATGCGGACTAGGGTGTTGAGAAACCAACAAGAATTTTTCCCGAAATTTCCATATTGTCACCGACACAGGTGCATATTTTCCCACCACACTGTGGTGTCTTATTCCGCCCACTTACCCCATCCATACGAACTCGCTTATCGTGGCGAACAGGAGGAACTTCTGCCAGAATGTCTGTCGATAGATCTTCTTGCCGATCCAGCTGGCAGCCGCGGCCGCTGGTCCCCGGTACACCGGGAGGTTCACCAGACGTGTAGATGAGAACATCAATGGCAACTGGAAGTCTCTGTCAACGTCGGAGCGACAGGGATTTTCATAGACCCCCCCTGAGTTTCACCAGCGCTCCCAAGGTAGAGCTTCACATGTGTAATGCATTTTTGAGAGCACTTTATTTTTGGGCGGAAAATAAAGTATACACGCTTGTCGAGGCAGAATATACGAACCATAGGTGAAAACGTTAATCAACTCTAGCCAGCCAACTCCAGCAGCGCACCAGAACAGGTCTGCAAGTGGTGAAACGACCGTCGAGGAAATGCAAGATTTGTAAGGCTCGGCAAGAAATCAAGACCGTCTTTAAATTACGTTGGTGGTGACGAGATGAACTGGTTCGAGAATCTATTTGGTTTCAAAGAGGCAGCGTAAGTCTGTTGCATACCGCTATCTTTTATACATTCTATGTCAGGTACAGCCTCACAAGAAGTCATTTCTGTGAAAGGCGACTGCTGGACGGCGCAATTCTTTTGGAGTCTAAAATCGATGGCCGGTGAGGACGCGCCTGTTGTTATCACTGGTGTTATCTTCTGGGTGTCAGAGAGTTCGACGTGGGGCGGTTCACGATGCCGACTTTGGAGTCGTTGAGAAACGAATATGCGGTTTTGGTCGAGGACAGTATGAACAGGAGTATGTGCCTTGTTTAGGCTCGTCTAGGTATGCTGATGGTCTCAGGTGGACACCTCCGTAACGGCGCTTTTAGCCTTACTAATATAGTAGCGGACGTTAGGGACCTCCACAGAGACCCGCTGAATAAGGGCGCTGTGTTCCAGGTGGCGAGCCAGTTCAACTGTTTAGAAATGCCCAACATGAACTTGACACCTGAGGTTTGACGGGGCGTGTTGCTGATGATGATTTTATACTTACCGTCTAGGATGGTATCACGAACTATATCAACGACCCCACGCAAGGTCCGGCCTGTGCTATGGAGTGCGCCCCTGGAACGCTGTATAGGAACTACTTCGTGAGTGCTCCTCTTGCATTCTTCTCAGGGCGGTCTTCAGGTTAATGTCAATCCTGATGGGACTCTAAATGACGATGGTGGTGAATCTTTAGAGTGAGTATTTCGAATCATCATCGGACTTGGTCATTTATGTGCAGGCCGGGGCAGCACGCAGACCGTCAAATCAACTGTCTGGTCTATTTGGGTAAGGCCCTAGGGAACAGCATGGAACGCTACTGGCATCTTAAAAACGGGTAGGAGGGAAAGTTGCTCATGTGTTGGTATTATAAATGCTCAGCTACGCCCTACCATGTGAGTCGACTTCACTCGATCGGCTATCGGATAGGCTACAGTCGCTGTCTGAGGACAAGCTGGATGACTTAGAGGAAAACTGGCTGTTGGTGTGCAGTGGAATACTGAAGTAAGACAGAGAGTGATGAGCTCAAGTGCACCTCTTCATAGGTGTCCTCGGTCGAGTACAGTGAGCAACGAGTAAGCCAGGTGTATGCTTCTGCGGTACCAGTGGCGTATGCAGCTGGTACTACTGCTGCCCAATGGGAACCATTTGCTAGACTGGTAGGCCCCGATGGGCCTCAGTGACTGTGTAGGGCTTAGTAGGTACTGAGAGGCTGCTATGAGAGCACTCTACTGGTTGCGGCGTTGCTGGCTATCGAACAGGGTAAACGGGAGAAGGTTTATCTCACACTGGTCGGGGGCGGTGTTTTCGGCAACGATGAAGGGTAAGTCGTAGTCGCAGGCCTCTATTAGTGATGATGAGCATTCAGGTGGATCGTGGATGCAATACGAGAGTCTCTCGTGAGCCTGGAGGCGAAGTTTGGCGGTTTCCTTCCGATTGATGTGGTCGTTGTCCATCACAGTCGAGTCAAGCCAGCCTTCGCAGCGCTTGAGGACTGGGCGATTATTCGTTCTACTGTTAACTAGTTGAATTAGTGCTCTGGGTTCCTAAATGATTTTTCTGCTCGGATACCGCTCCTCGCTGAAGTTTTTCAATTATGACCAGCTATTCGCAGAGTAGCTATGGGAGATGGTGGGAATGTTTAGGCAACCATTCGAGAATACTCGCTCTTTGTCGGGACATGTGCATGTCTTTTTGTGGAGGGCTGGTGACTTCGAATGAATAGTGGGCTGATGTGTTAGTCGCAGAGTTACAGTTCGCAAGTGGTACATGCTGGGTAGGTTGTTCGAATGACTCGGATAAAAAGGAGGGTGATGCCTATGAACTAATTTTAGGCTTGCAACTTTGCTAGTCGGTGCTTGGGCAGTTTGAAGTTTTCTGAGTGGTGGATTCTCTTGGAAGTGAGCGTTCTGATGCAGCTTATGTGCACAGTTTGTAGTGCCGTAAGAGTGGCTTCTGCGAAACAGAGAAGCGTGTGGGAGTTTTACCCCCCAGTAAATTGTAGTACCTGGATAGGTTGATACACCGGTCGAGGCGGGAAGGCCTTGCCTTTATTCTTATCGAGATTCATCGTAGTCTTTCACTCAGGAGCCTCTGCAAGGTGTTAGGACCGCAGGGTCCGGGATATTGGCGTCATCTACCTGGTCGTTATCGGTGATGTACTTTGACTGTTGTAAAGGGTTGCCTGTTAGTCTGTGGTTCCACTACTCATGACTGGTATTTCGGATTCATTCGAATCGAGGATAGCTGCTCGCCGTAGGAATTTCAAAAAGGCCTCGGGCGATGCCAATGATATGCGTCGTCGCAGGGAGGTGCTGTGTGGCGGGCGGTGCTGTCCGATGGTAATGGCAGTGTCTCAGGATGCCACTGTGCAAATTCGCAAGAAGGAAAAAGAGGATCAGCTGGTCCGACGTCGTAGACTAGGCGTCGAAACCGAGGAGAAAACACAGGCGGATTTCAAGACGCCGAGTAAATCGGCGACTCATGTTGGCTTGAAGGAGGAAGGTAAGCATGGTAGTGGAAGCACTCTTGCTGTTTGTGATGGAGCTCAGATATCCCAGCGTTGAAAGCGGCACTCAGTGGGAGTGACGAGGCGGCTGTGATGGAGGCTCTGGTGTCCTTTAGAAAGCTGCTGAGCAGAGAGGACCGGCCTCCTATTCAAAATGTCATCGATGCTGGGGTAAGTCTACCGCGGCCGTTGACGGAGCTGAGTCGGCTCTACTAGGTGTTACCACGCTTTAAGGAACTGCTGGACAACCCTATGTCATCTAAGATGCAGTTTGAGGCCGCATGGGCGCTCACTAACATTGCTAGTGGCAACCACGACCAGACTCTGACGGTGGTTGAGCTCGGTTCGTATGGGATCATATACGCCAGCCTCAGTAATGGCACTGCAGGTGCTGTGGAGTCATTTCGGAAGCTCCTATCGTCGAAGAATGCTGAACTGCAAGAACAGTCTATTTGGGCGGTCGCGAACATTGCTGGCGATGGACCAGGTGGGGTCGCTGCCGACTCGATAGCCTCTCATGGCTACGGTAGGTATCAGAGACCAATGTTTGAGACTTGGCATTCTCCAACCCTTGTTGGACGTCATTCGTGCTGGGCAGAGTATCGGCCTAGTGAGACTGGGCACATGGGCGTTGAGTAACTTCTGTAGAGGAAAGCCGGTGGGAAGGGAAGCAGTTTACTACGTATTGAGTGATGGCTATTTAGGCGCCTCCCCTTGAAATTATCTCACCGGCTCTGGCCACCCTGGCTATGGTGCGTACGAGTCTCGGTGCTGTGGGTGACCTGGTCGTGGCAGGTCCTCGGTCTTGATGATAGAGAGGCTCTGACGGATGCATTGTGGGCGGTGTCGTACCTATGTGATGGTCCTAGTGAGAGGATAGAGGCAGTTCTGATGAGCGGAGCGATACCGCGTATTGTGCAATTACTAGGCCATGATAACCCTTCGGTAGTTGGCGTGTAAGGATGTATCGTATTCGACTCCACAACGTGCAGGTCCATACACCAGCACTACGTGCAATCGGCAATGTAGTAACGGGGGAAGCTCACCAGACAGCGGCTGCGGTAGGAATTGGGGGGGAGTCATCGTGGTAGGTTTATCTAGGTTGATGCTGGGCTCGTGCTCGCTCTGAAGCCTCTGTTACGGAGCTCTAGGAAGATGGTGAGAGGAGGAGGAGGAGGAGGAGGAGCACTGTTGACTAGTGTGGTTGGGTTGTTAAGATACGGAAAGAGGCGGTCTGGACCCTGAGTAACATCTGTGCCGACAAGGACATACAGATTCAGAAGGTAGGTGTCTTGGGCCTCACTGTGGTGAAATATACACGTGGTCAAGTTTTGGTGACAATCTGGAAAATCTGGGAGAAATTCTTGTTGGTTTTTTTACATATTGATGAGTAGGCTTCTATTATCAGTGGAGGAATACCTGAGCTCAGCTGAGGAAAGCGAAAATATGTTTTGATACTGGATACTGCGCGAGTCAGGTTATTGATAGCGGTCTGTTGGCCGAGGTGTTCGAGATGATACTTGGTGCGAAGGAGCACGAGATTCGTCGAGAGGCTGTCTGGGTGGTCTGCAACCTCTGCACCGGTGGTACGCCGGCACAGGTCCGCTATGTTGTTGATCACTACAAGGCTATCTCGGCTATCTGTGAGAGTATCGCGGACTGGTGGAAGACAGCAGAATATATGGTATAGGCACAGTACTGAACGTGAAGGACTCCAGAATGGTCCAAGTCGCGTTAGAAGCCATTGAGGGCATTCTCAAGGTGGGGTCCGAGGTACAGGAGAAGTCGGGCGCGAGCGTGAACCGCTATCTGGAGTGAGAGGCCTGTAGGTGAGCTGACGAAGAGGCTGTGGTTATGTATAGGTTGTTGGAAGAATGCGGCGGCCTTGATAAAATAGAGGAGCTCCAACAGGACAGCAGCAAAGACGTTTACGAACGGGCTGTTAGCATTTTAGAGGGGTATTCGACGCAGTGTTGGAATATATGTTTGCTTTCCTCAGCTGATTTCGTGAGTTCCCTCGAGTATTATAGGAGTTCATATACGCGTTCGGGTGGAAATGTTCAGAAACCAACAATAATTTCCCAACATTTCCTCAAAATTTTCACATTGTCACCAGCACATGTAGTTGACCATGTGCATATTTTCCCACACTGCTTCGGCGGAGGTTGTTAATTTTGGTTCTTGGATGGCCAGTTACTGTGAAGTTGAGGAGGAGAATGGGGGCTTGGGGAACGGCAACATCATGACCGATGGCCTGGGCTCAGTTCACCAGCAGGAACTGCCACACTTCGCTTTTGCATGACTGATTCGCGAGTAATTCACACCGTCGTAAGCATCCACCCCGCAGTAGGGTCACTTAAGGTCGATCTCAACTAGCAAAGGGTAGAGTTGTGTTATTGGGTCTGTGGAAGTCAATGGTGAGGTTGCTTAGTTGTTATGCCCAGTAGAAGGGTATTCGACGACAGGTTGGTGGACATCGTGGGCGATCGACAAGTCGCGTGGTGGCTAGTCGTGTCTACGGCGGTATATGCCCTCCTCTCAGTACTACTGTGCTGGGGTCTCTCGTGAATCGGCGGTGTTCAGATGTCAGTGATTCCCCCATCACTAGCGGTGATGATATTGGCCGCGCTAGTAGTAGCAGCCGTGTAGGATGATGATGTATAGTAGGTGAATGTTGAGATGTTAGTGCTGCAGGTACATCAGTAGTTATAGCGGATTGGAGCCTCTGGAGCCGGCTCATCTTCTGCTCTTTCCTGGCCTCCATCCGAGGTCCTTGAGGGGTAGTGCTGAACGTGATAAGACGTCCGAATTGGAGGATAGAAGACGGCAGTCGGAGGGTTCGTCATGATGGTGGTGGTGGTTGCTGTCGCGGATTTAGTCGTTAACAGTTACACCGCGAAATGTGTTTGAATCGGCTTCTAGGGCGAAAATGAGCCCAGGATCGTCAGGGACGACGAAGGCTAGTCTGAAGGAAGAGGCTCCTCTAGCGACTCCGGTGAAGTGGGTTTATATGCTGAGGAGTTTTGCTCCTCATTGATGCAGATTGACGTTGCCTACGCTATCGGGTGAGAGCTGTTGGTCTAGAACGAAGGGCGTGACCGATGGAGGGGTTGGAGGTGGCTCTTTACAAGCTGAGGACGATGGTCCCGGCTCGCAGTCAGTCTCCAGTTGGGCGCCTATGGTTGGTATGCTCCTGGTAGGTCTATTCCAGCGGCTCTGCCTCGTAGGGGAGATGAGGGTATGTGGTTTCGTGTGAAGGGTAGGGAAGGGGTAGTATGAGGCACAGTAGATGGGGTCTCAGGCACGTTCCTGCATGTGGAGTGTTCTAGGGAGGCGAACGAGTTATCAGATGAGGATCATCCGGCGGCGTCTCGAGAAGGCAGTATTGAAGCCTCGGTGAGTCAGTGAGGAACTGCTTGGATTTACTTGCAGGTTGGGTGCAGGTGTTGAGCGCCTCTGAGGAGGGTTCGGTGTCTGGAGCTGTAGATAGTAGTGATTCTAGAGAAGCAATGGTGGCAGCGGCGGCGGGCAGGAGGCGATTCCGGAGGCGACGGAGCATCAGCGATGCGGATCTCACGTGATAATAGGGCCTGTGTGGGTTGGTGGTACGTGAATAACTGAAAAAATGGTTTCGTTCGGAGTGAATCCGGAGTTCTCCCTAGTGCTGGGGTCGTGAAGTAATACTAGATACTATATTAAGAATGGTTTTTCACCCATTTTGGCATAATACTAAGTGTAAAACGCGATATTCGCGGTATGCAGTGGTCGTGAAATCTGTTTTTTTCGTATTACGGGTGAAATTCTAATATAAACATGGAGTATTATATAACATGTATATCTAGTCTGTGTATATGATAATAAGCATATACTAAATGTATAGTATACATAATGAGGATGATTTTGAATTGAATGACTAACTGTGTTCGTTCGAGGTACACAGCGTACTTGGCAGAGCTGGCCATGGAGCGGAAAGAGAGCGTCTCGGTAGAGTGTGGTATGCTGGATGAGTTTAGAGGAGACTTTACGTAGGAGGGCATCATCAGTGTATTGATCACAAGCCTCACCGTCGCAGATTGTCATCGTGAGATAGCTCAGTTGAAGTCAGTGTCGGCGTCGCCTCAACGTCAACAGGTGGGTTGGAGGGATCCGTCGTTACTTCCCCAGGTAGGGATGGGCAAGACAGGCTAGGGCTGAACCCAGATGCTCCGGAATTCGTACCGCAGTATCTGAGTCGATCGTGGCTCTCCATGAACGCCCCACCTCCGGGCATCGGCCATCGGAGGACAGGTAGGCAAGCGTGAAATACAGGTCAGTCGCTATACGGGGCGGGCTAAGCGGCCGATATGTCACAGACATGCGGCTGTACTCTCAGGCGGTTTCTGGGAGTCTCGAAGATTCCGGTGACTTCATCTACACGCGTGTTTCGTGGTGAGCGCGGTAGCGGTCGGTGAATGGTGTTATCCACTCACAGGTAGTATAAGGTGAAGTCGACTACCATTTATTCTTGTTGGATTGCTTGTATCATCGTCATCATCATCAACAACAACTTCAGTCTGTGGTATCACCAGCTGTTTTCTCAACGGGGATGATGCTCATAATTCAGTAGGGCATGAAGGACAGCTAGCGTTGGAGTTGTGTTACAGGCATGTAAAATGCATTTATATTTTATCTACTGGTCTTGGGTAGGCTTTTTCCAGTGCATGTCTATTGATGAGAGCAGCGAAGAAGGTGTTCGGCAACCGTTGACAGGGGGAAGCGAAGCGGTGGGTATTCGGGAGATCAGCTCGTTGGACTTCCTACCTCCGCAGGCCTGTATGTGCCTCCTCAGAGTCGGCAAGGCCCCAATCCCCTCCTGTGCAGTTCGCTGGTACGGCATCGAACATTTCACGATAATATACCGTTCGCGTTGCGAGTGTTTGTAGGAATCGCCGCTGGTGCAATGGGAATGAACGGGTGAGTTCATCTCAACTCCTGATGGGAGTCAGTTGTGGCCTTCAGGATTACCTTTTTCTTCTGGGAAGGGCACGGTTATACTACTCACGTCTTAGGAGTGTACATGACGGCATTATCCGTCATCATTACAACAGCTGAGTTCTTACCATTTGCCGTGGACACCTTGATACCCGTAGGAGGAGCTATGCCCAGTCCCGTATCGATTTGCGCTACTTTGCTTTTCCCCTCAGTGGATGCCGTTCCTCAAGCACTACGGTTCACGTGCGGTAGTTTACCTATTGGCAGCTTTCCTATGCATGGGAGAGGAGATGGGCTTTACAAGTAGTGTCGGATGCATGCTCGTTGACGGGGAGTGCTTGCCAGGTCGATGCGCTGGGGTCCTGATGTTCATGGGCTCGGCGGCTTCGTTCGCCTTCCATCGGTTCTACCCTGGTGCGATGGAGCACGCTCTTCGGCCGGGAAGAGTGGTAGGGTTAGATGGGAGCACAGATGATGGTGTGGCCATGGGCCTCATAGGCGAAAACCCATGCGCGTGAGGAAGCGGTAATGTACCTTCTGAGTGTCGCTGTATTATTATTATTATCTCTCGTGGAGCTCCGTCTTGAGTTTGCCTACTCTATCGCTATATAAAAAAGTGGGTGAACTCATTGCGATGGAGGGACAGTGGTTGGGTTAATACACAGCTAGGGGAATATATAGCTTGTCTAACGCATTATCGCTGATGACCGGCTCACCCTGCAAGAGGGAGAAAGGTGGTACTGAGAGGTATCCGAGGTCAGTAGAGGCCAGTGACTCGAGGCGGATGGTGCTGCTGAGCAGGTTTGAGCTTCGGGAGGAACACAAGACGGAATTGAAGGAAGCCTTTGATGTCTTCGACAATGAGGGTACTGGTACTATCGACATCAAGGACCTCCGAGTATGCATTAAAGGGAGCGTTGGGGGGGGGTAGGGTTGTTGTGTTAGAAATGCTTCTTTAGGTCGCATTGCGAGCTCTTGGATCTGAACCGGGGAAAGAGGAGATGAAGCGTCTGGTTGGTGAGACGCTGGGCATGGTCCGACAGTGATGATCTACATCAGGGAAGTACACGAGGGTCGTGGGACCGAGGAAGGGGTCGGCGGGAGAAGAGATGGTGACAGAAGATAAGCAGTCACCCTGGCAGCAAGAAGAAGGGGATTTATTAGGATCATCGACAGTGTATCAGCAGCAGCATGAGGTAGAGGACGAGGAGGGGAGTAATAAGGATGGGCAGGAGGAAGGTGATGGAGGGCCAGTGAGGGAGCATGGTAGTAGAGGGTTGTTTATTCCAGGGGGAGGTGGGTATATTGAGGTACCTTGGACTTCTGTGAGTTTCTTGAAATAATGTTGGAGAAGATGACAGAGAATTGCTCAAGGGCTGAGGTAGAGCAGGCCTACCATATGGTCAAGGGGGAATCTGGGAAGGTGTCTCGGGAGGATCTCAAGGCGGCAGCGGCTGAGCTCGGTGGGTCTGGCGAGGTATTCATGGTGGTTAAGACAATGAGGCATCAGGTGAACATATAGGAGAAGAAGAGTTGGATGAAATGATGAAGGAGGCGGATACGGACGGCGATGGGTTAATCAGCGAGGAGGAATTCATTGGGATCGTCCTCAATCCGGATAGCGCCTCAATGTGAGCATGTTATGAGGGGTGTACCAAGTGTTAGCGCTAGACCCTAGCTTGCGTTCATAATGCTATATTAATGACTGAGGGCTGTAGGTAGCATAAGGATCATGAACGGCGTAGTGTGGGGCGTATGTTCACCGTTTCCTGAGTTTTCAGAGATGTTTGCTAACCATTGAAGTGGTACTAAAACCAACAAGAATTTCCTAAAACTTTCGCGTTGGTCTTCATATTCGTGAGGTCGTCGATGGTACTAGGTAGGACCGACCGGAGAACGGGGAGCTCCAGAAGTTGGGAGAAAATGACGTGGTTGATGTGGCGTCTTCATCGAGACGGAAAACGTTGTGAGTGTGATGAGGCGTTGGGGCCTTTGCTGAGTTGCTCGTGCATGTTGTACGACGTAGTGTGAGGGAATGTAAGCGGAGGAGGGCCAGTGTTATTCTCGCAACGGATGTAAGTCATACGAGGATGTCATTGTGGCACAGCAACTCAACTTTGGGGAGGTGATTGTTCTGCGGTCAATGTTGGCGAGCTTACTCGAGGAAGCTGTGTCCCCGGCGGCTCGCATTAGAAACAGACCTCCTGACTTTGACTGGTAGTAACGAGGTTCAATTGTACTCAAGACGGGATTTCAATTCGGTGATGAGGAGAGGCAATAGAGGCGAAGCCAGTGTAGTTGTAGCTGTTTCCTGTTGTACAACTGCTCTGCTATGATGCTGACCGAACATGATGTGGGTCCATCAACTTATCTGTGATGATATAATGCAAGTCTGCACCCGGTTTCTAGTGCTTCCCTCGGTGGATCATCATGGACCGAGGTATGATTAATGAGAAATCTTTAGTAATCTGAGATGATCTGTCGGTGATTGGAGCTCCCCCATAACACACATGATGTGTATGTGTAGAACCTAGTAATCATTTGTGAGGCTGACAGAGCATGATATCTTGTGGTCGAGTTGATATAATATAATGACTCGAGGCATCATCAGGCAAATTTTTCATTATGAGGCTACAACGACCGTCACTGCCAAGCCATCGGACGGAAATCGCCTTGCTAGTGGACAAGGCAATCTCTGTACTACAAAGTAGTACTACTACAGCATGGCATTGTGAAAAGTCGTTTTAACAGTGGTATGTCTCAGTGACTATATCAGCCCTGGCCCGTGAAAGGGATATGTTGGATGAGGAGTGGCGGCGACTGGAGGAGGCTCAAGACCAAAGCGATCATCTCGCTGCAGTCCACGCTCATACTATCCCAACAGAACTCTCTTCTGAGACTGGCAACGTACCTCCTATAGAGGAAGGAGCTGTGAGAGACTTCGTTGTCTTTGGCATCAAACAACGGCATCACGGGTCAGGTTAGTGTAGCGGAGCTTCTCCCGCCGGCACCGCAGGCCGACGATCCCGTCTCTGCAGCAGCTGCCGTTGCCGCCATGGAGTTCGATACGCACGCTGCCATCTCTCCCATAAAGGCAGTGGCGGCAGCCGCTCAGCAGCTGTCTTCTCGTGGACGTGAAGGCCGAAGATCAAGTGGGATTCCTGGTGTTAGCTGGCATCCTCGGACGGGTGACGATTGGGCTCATTGTCGCCTGGGACGCAGGGGTTCGTGATAGGTCGGTGGGTAGCACGATGGACTGGCGAGGATAAGAAGGAGCATTCTAAGGGATTCTCTTCGAAGCGACATGGTGACGCTAAGGCGCTTCAGATGGCTGTTGGTAAGTGGCGACTTGAGAGTATTACTGTTCATCGGTGGGGCCTTGTCAGCCACTAGAAGAGCAATGCATGTTCGAGCGACGGATCACCCATCACCCATCGTTGAGGAGGCATCGATGTCGCCCCCCTCTGAAGCCTCGGAAGAGAACGAGGAACCACCCGCTAAGAGGAGTCGTGACGAAGGACAGCTCTGTAATCAGCGTTAACGATGAGATTGCTCATTCTTCCGTTCCAGATGAGACGATATCAGCGCTAGCTCAGCTAGCGAGTGATCCCGTGCTTGGTCATCCTGGCCCGCCTGATCACTTAGCGACTGTAGAGGACTGTCTAGCCTTGTGTGATCTCGGCACGGTAATAACGAGAACTTGTGCTCATTGCCTATATGATGCTACCCTGGCAGCTGGGATCGCATCCTCTGACGCCCGATGCGGAACGAGAGGTTGCCGAGGCTGTACTGCCTCCACTACCTTCAGGAGCCCATGCTAGCTCGGATCGACCCAGTGGCGTGAGACTACAGCCCACGCTGGGGGACTTTCTCTAGTATGTATCCTCTGCAGATACAAGGAGTAACTTGGCACCCATTAAATCGGACGTGGGCTACGCGATGGCGGGAATCTGAAGGGCAGCAACGGAGCAAGAGCTTTGCTATGTCGAAGTATGGAGATGACGGGGCATTTCGGCTCGCTATAAGACTCCGGAAGGTAGTCCTGGTTTGTTATGGCGGATACACCGTGCGATGGTCAGCTTCTTGAAGATTTGGGCTTCGTCTCGCCGCATATGGGCCGACCATCAGAACGAGGGACTCCACCAGTCCCTGCTCTCCCAAGCACTGAGGCCTGGATACCAAACGCAATGCCAATCGCTGATGGCCAGACCTCTGAGGCTGCTTCAATGCCGCATCATATATCTGGCGGTAAGGTGAGGAGTGGTGTGCCTGGTGTTACCTGGAACGAGACCTACCAGATGTGGGTTGCGAGGTGGCGAGAGGAACCCAAGGGTAGTGTCAGTCCATTACTGGGATCGATGTGATCACAACCACCCTCAGGACGAGAGAACAGCCGAACGTTCTCGGTGAAGCAATACGGGGCACATGAGGCTTTGCAAATGGCAATTGATTATAGGAGAATGATGGAGGAGGTCGGGAGAGTATGTCTACCAAGAGGGGCTACATCTTCGACCACTCCGATGTCCCATCACGGTGACGCTGCACAAGACCATTGATGAATAGTATTATTCCGTCATCGCCATATTGAACTTTGTTCTGTCGTTAATGATTGAGGGGAGAGCTCTCAACAGTTTTTCTTTCGCTCCCCTGCCTCGTTATGTTTCGACTGGAGGCGAATCCTCGGATGAAGCGTAGGGTACTCTCTGGCAGGGTCGCGTATCTATGACATAGTCTTACGGATGATCCAATCGTCGGCCATTGATCGATGCAGCATCATTCTTCAAAGAACACTTGGTTCAGGATTTTGTGGTAGGGATCAACATGGCAATACTCTACACAACACAGACCTTAGTCTTCATCTCATTGCGAGGGACTACTCCAGATTAGGAAGTTAACGTCGGAACCGAGACGTACGACGGTGTATTAAGTACGCTGACGGTACGACGGTGTATTTACGATGTTCCATTCAATCCGGTATGCCACCCGAAGATGTCACTCAGTAAAGCTGGGGCAACTATGCCATCCCGAGATGTGGCCGCATAGACCCAATCTCCTCAGCTGGGGCAACTATGCCATCCCGAGATGTGGCCGCATAGACCCAATCTCCCCAGCTGGGGCAACTATGCTTTTCCGAGATGTGGCCGCATAGACCCAATCTCCTCAGCTGGGGCAACTATGCTGCCCCAAAATGTGGCTTAACGCAATCAATCTCTTCAACTGGGGTAATTATGCCACCCGAAGATATGGCTCAGTTCTATCAATCGCTCCAGTTGGGGCAACTATGCCACCCTAGAATATTGCTCGATGCCATTAATCTCTCCAGCTGGGGCAACTATGCCACCCCAGAATATGGCTCGATGCCATTAATCTCTCCAGCTGGGGCAACTATGCCACCCCACGAGAGGTGGTATAGTTGCCTCGACCCGTTGGAGAGATTTTACCAAGGGCGAACTAGGCGTTTTAAAGGCCGTGGTGTATCGTATCGTGAACCATTGATGTGTATGATGAAACTACGCACGATGTAGGTTCAGAAATGCGTTGAAAAGAGTGGAATTGGAGTGTTGGGAGCCAACTAGAATCAATGAGTGGGAAGCAACGCATAAGAGCGACACATGCTGACCGAAGCCCAGAGCCTCGGTCGCTCAAGAGTAAGGGCCTCAGACCCTTACTGTCGTTCGTGATTCTGCGACGAGGGCTGAAGTTAAGCATATCTTCAGACGTTTTGGGTGTCACAACTATGCCGTTGCTGCATAGGTTTTGCATGGTCATTCTTCGCTGGACTTCCGGTGATATCGTACCGGCATCGGAAGAAGAAGAAGTTTTGCATTTTTATGGTATAGGAGGATCCAAGTCTCAAGTGCTACACCTTTGTGTCACTGAAGGGTTCTGATTACTATTCAATAGTGTCCTTGTCAAAGACTCTGGCACAGTGTTCGGAGCCGCGACGTGAATCGATTAAACGGGCGCTCGCTAATGTGATTGACGTTCTTGTCCAGCGTATACCAATCTTGTACTTTACAGTCTGCGAGTAATGGCTTCCTCATCGCATTCGTCGTCCTCACCAAGAATGTCGTTGATGGGTCATCCTCTTGACCCCGGTCACTCGTGCATTGAAGAAGTGCAGGCTTCTGCTGGTGCCACCGATCATGCTTCTGGTGGTGGTCTTAAGTGCAGTACACCTAAAGAGGTGACGGCGCAAAAAGCAGCGAGCAGAGTTGGATTTGACTTACCAATACAGTCGGATTCTCACAGTAATCTTGGTCTGGACGATTCTACTTCAACCCTTGGGGGTTATAATGATAGTCTATTTTGTGA